CATAGGCTCCGGAGCCTCGAGAGCGAGGAGCGAGGACCCTCTAGAGGCTTCCGGCTGATGACGTCGGCGCCGCCTGTCTCGCACGGTGTTGTCCAACCGGACGGCCTGTCGGACCAGGTCATCAAAGGAAGGAGCCTCCCCCTTGTGTGACAACTCGTCCTGTAACTCCGGATTCAGGGCCCGCAAGAATATGGTCTGCAGGCAGTCATCAGGCCATCTGAGATTCGCGGCGATGGTCCGGAATTCCAAGGAGAACTCAGCGGCTGAACGATTCCCTTGGCGACACTCCAACAACCTAAATCCGGGTCTTCTCCCCACAGCCGGATGGTCGAACACCTCCATCAGGGCGTGATGGAAGTCCCTCCTGGAGTCTAGGAGGGGACTACTGTCCGCCCACAATGCCGTTGCCCATTCACGAGCACGGCCCGTAAGTAGGGAGATGGTAAACCGCACCTCGGCTCCTGGGCTGCGGAACATCTCGGGGTGTTCCTCCACGTAGAATCCACACTGCATGAGGAATCCCCGGCACTGGTCAGGATTCCCGTCGTATCGCTCTGGCATAGCGATTGGCACCGGGGCGTTGGGCCGTGGGGGAGAGTCAGGAAGGGGCACTCGGGCGGCTTGTGAAGCGACCAGTTGCTCCAGGGCGGCCATGCGGTTCTCTAGCATCCCTGCTGGATCCATCGTTAGGCGAAGTATTATGTCAGCCCCGAACAAGAAGGGAGAAGGAGATCCAGGTATGCAGGGGCAAAGGAGCTTTATTAATGTCTCCGGAAGGAGAGGAGAGGAGGAGATGGGTTTCCTGCCTCGGAGAAGCGCAACCTTCTCTGTCGAGGCGCAGGGGGAAAGCGCCGTAGGCGAGGGAGCGATCTCTCCAGGAGATATCCGAAGGCACGGGATCGAAGGGGCGAGCAGGAATCGGTGTCGTTGTCCGTGAGCTGGGTTCGTTAACTGGGAGGTCCGTCCGACGGGTAAGCACAAGACCAGGACACACAAGGAAGGGGGAACAGGAGGTGCCGGGCTCAGCGGGGAAGGCAGGTCAGGTACGGGAACGGGTCTGAGGAGGGAAGGCAAGAGGGTAAGGACCACACAACAGGATAACAGGTAAGGACGGGAGAGAAGGGTAGACGAGAGACGAGAAAAACGCTCGGTATGGCTGCAATACATTAGCTCAATACTTCGCGAAGCATATCGGGTTCCGTTCTGCTTATAAAGGCAGTCAGTCCCTTGTGGACGAGCTGCACCTGTTGCGTCCCGCCTCCGTGGGCGTGACAGGATGGTTGGATGTATAGATTTATAGTTTTAAAATGCAAGTGCTGTGAACAACGTACAGTATGTTTTACCGTAAGAGACTATAAATGGTAAATAGTGTAAATGACGTAGTATTAAATAATTATGTCATATCGCTATTAATTATAATGTAGGGATAGGTATTATAAGTGTTTGTATCTATAGTATATAATATAGTTTTATAAAGATAATAATTTTATTGTACACTTCATATTTCAGATGACGTGCTACATTATGTCCGCAATAAGGGCACAAATAAAGAGCTCCTAGTGAAGGTTCTTCGAAGCGCTGAAGAAGCCGATGCTGTTTTTAAGGAATTCCATGCAAACCCTGCAGGTGGACACAGTGGCAAGGAGAAAACCCAAGATGCCATTTCCAGGCGTTACTACTGGCCTGGGATGAATATTGTTATTCAGAACTGGGTATTTTTGGGTATGTGCAAATACAATCACAGAAAGTCCTGGGATGCAAGGTTAATTCACGAGAAATACTGCAAATTCATATGATGTATAACAAAAAATTATTTGTAGAACTGTATTCATTAATGAAATGATGTTTTTGTCTAAGTACAGATCAAACAGTGTTCAGCATGCCAGGGCAGGAGAACTGTCAAGCAGACAGAAACATACGTTCCTATAATTGTAAGCAGCACACTATATCATGTTAAATATTATATTTGTACATGTACATGTAACTCTTCAAAACTCTGCTAATGTCTAATATATTTTATTTTAAAGGTAAATGAGCAAAATTGTGCTTTTTCATGACCTTAATAACACCATAAAATATAACAAATGTACTAACCTAGAGTATTAATTAATATCAGACACTTGCTGTAACAACAGGTAGTTATGATGTATCTAAAATCTGTGTTTTCATTCTGTTTATTTTTGTTTTACAAGTTAAACAAGGAAGTATGCAAGCTCTTTGGGATTTCACGGAGTCTGTGTTCCCCATACCACCCTCAGACAAATGGTCTTGTGGAGAAAATGAATGGAACCATACAGAGGGAGGTCTCATTTAAGCTTTTATTTCTGCTTCACAATGACAGTTATCATGTACTTGGTATGTGATCTCTTCTATTTTATGTCTAGGGCCCTGGCAAACTTTGCCAAGACAGACTGGATAAATGGGACCTTTATCTGGACGCAGTCCTTTTTAACATACAAACAAAAAACACCTAACAACAAAGTATTCCCCTTACTTCCTCCTATTTGGACGGGAAGCACGTTATCTGTCTGAGGTCCCTGAGTCTTTTGATGTAAGCAGTCAAATTAGAACTTGTCTAAAAAAAAGGCAGTTGTTATTTTTATGTCTATTTAAAAACAATATTTTGTGTCTGTTAAAGTCAAAATCCTTAATTGTCTTTTTGTTATTTAGATAAATGAATCAGTGGAGGAAGGGCTATTGAAAGAAATAATAAGTCCCGCTCTGCAAATGCAGGACCAGGTGTTCAATTATGTCAAAGAGAACATGAAAACAACCAGGGACAAAATTAGGCAAAGAAAGGACAAGAGTTCTGGTGCCAAGCCGTATCAATGCAAAATTGAAGATTGATACTTCGAAGGAATGTCAGGAGTCAACAGCGAAAAGGGGGGAAACTGGAGAAAGACCTTTTAGGGCCATTTAAGATTCTTGCAATAGAGGGGAAAAATGCAGACTTATTAGGTGAAGATGGAACAAAGTTCCTGAAAATAAATGTGGATCATCTTGTTCCCTATGTGGAAGATGTTCCACAAATTCCTCACAAACCGCAAAAATCCTTTATTGCCAAGCAAAGTGATGGAGTCCCTTCATCTCCAGTCCCTCGGATCCCTCCCACTCCTACAAAGACAGCATCACGCCCACCGTCACCATCTCCAGTACTTCAGATCTCTCCCTCTCCTACAAAGACAGCATCACGCCCACCGTCACCATCTCCAGTCCCTCGGATCCCTCCCTCTCCTACAAAGACAGCATCACGCCCACCGTCACCATCTCCAGTCCCTCCGATCCCTCCCACTCCTCCAAAAACAACATCAAGCACACCTTGCCCTTCACCAGCCTCTTCGTCAGCTGTTACATACATCTCCAAATTTGAGAAAAGTAAGATCCTGATTCGGTTATTAGTAAAATGAGTTTAAAATACAATAAGTTTAGAATTTGCTGATAGTTATTATTTTTAAAATTACAGGTGTTGACAAAGCTTGGTCTGGAAGAGTGTGGGACAAAAAAAGTCAACTTCTTGGCAAAATTGGCCCTTATAAATTTTTCAACTGGGACATCGGACGTCTTGCCCCTGGCAGACAACTAGAGAGTGAGGTCAGTTGTGTGCTTATGCTGTAGAAAATTGTGACATAAAACTCTATTTAGAAAAGTTGGGTCATAAATATATATGCTGTTCTTTTCACAGGTTATAAATGCATATATCTTTGCAATGGTCAGAAAACACAATCAAATCAGCGAGGACAAAGCTTTTATGATTGATTCTTTTGCTATGGCCAAGGTGTGGCAGGGGTCATACAACATTCTCAGAAAGGTACCATTTCTTCTCTTGATTATATATCTATAAATATGATTTATTTATTCTATCTATTTATTATATCTACAAATACAATAGTGCTTTTTAAAGAAATGTGTAGTGGATGTTTTAGTCATGTCAATGCCTTTTTTGTCAGTGGAACCCCAAAGAGTACCAAATGGTGCTTGGAGTGATCGGTGAGCACGGACACTGGACTCTTGCTGTACATTTGTTTGTATATACATTTGGTTAAGCTTTAATTTTACAATTATGTTTGATTATTTGTTTTAGGCAATGTATCCATCACAAAAAAAACAATTTTTCTGAATTCACTTGGAGAATCAAAGGAAAAGGTCACCCGATGCCTTGACACAACAAGGTCAGAAATAATATGTCAGATTCTGTCACTATCAAAGCAAAAACATACAGTACTGTGCAAAAGCATTGGGCATGTGCAAAGAAATGGTGCAAGTAAAGATAAGTTTAAAATGTAATATACTGTAACTACACATTTTTACTTAAAAGGACAACACTACCAAACAATAATAAACAGTACTAGACTAAACTCAACATTTGGGTGTGTCAGTCAATTCCTTTTTTGTATATAGTTGGAAAAGTAATGTTTGGATATCTAATCTGGACTCAATAATGCAGAAATCATAAAAAAACATCTATAATACAATTTGTATTAAAAATGTGGCTTTTGCACAGTCCTGTATGTCAAATTTTCAGTAAATGATTAAACCAACTACGCCATGTGCGATGATTGATTTACAGGGCCTTTATGAGGAGAAAAGGCTGCAATGTGTCGCGGTGGACGTGTGGGACTCTTCCACACTCACTTCAGAGAGACAGTAGTTCATGTGGGGTGTTTGTGTGCAAGGTAAGCATCAATAAATGTTTTGGTTATTAGCAAATATTTAAAAACAAAAATGTAACATGATTTTAAGTTTGTGGAGTGACTTGAGCATAACCAAAATTAAATGTTTGAATATATTTTTAGTTTGCAGAAAGATTTTTTCAATAGTATCTCTATCCAGCGAATTAAATAATTTCATTTTGTATTTGCAAAAACAAAGAAACATCGAAAAGGCATGTGATGTTTTAAAATATAGGGCTTGTTTACCTCAAGAGCTTCGTAGAAAGACATTAAAACGACAGAGAAACCGTCTAACTAAAGTGAAGCCGTCTAACGCTAAGTAGCGGGTGACGTCATGACTTAAATCAGCGCGCGACAGGGGGAACACGGGGGAACTGAATTTCCCGTAACACCTGCACACGCCTCCTCTTTACCCCGACCTGCAGAACTGTCGTAAACGTGGAAATGAGTTGCGTTGTGAATTTGCGGTCGATTACTCGTTTTCAAGGACCCGGATGTGTGTCACACTAGATTGAAATTGAATTTGCGAACTGAATTTTTCGAGGTAGGATAAATGCTATCTTGAGTTAGGTGTGTCACACTAGATTGAAATTGAATTCGCTAACTGAATTTTTCGAGGTAGGATAAATGCTATCTCGAGTTACGTGTGTCACACTAGATTGAAATTGAATTCGCAAACTGAATTTTTCGAGGTAGGATAAATGCTATTTCGAGTTACTGGAATTCAAATTCAAACTATTAAATTCAGATTCAGTTTTGTAATGCGGATAACTGCAGATTCAAATACTGTATACAAAATTCATATTCAGTTTCTAGTGGCACAAATATCAGCCCATACATTTAGTTTGCAAAAGGCTCTAACCTTACCAAAACATTTAAAATATGAAACAAAAGCAAATTTTGCCTTCAAACAACACAACTTGCAAACCAGTGTATGAGCTCTTCCAAGTTCCAATCAATCATTACACAATGGACAACAAAATACAAAATACAGCACTCAGTGTGAATCAGTGCACCATTGCTTGTCATTGTAGCCTATTACATAGCTGTCATGCCAGTGCCATTTGTTATATTGCAAAGAATTGGATCCAGAATCAGAAATGCTTTGATGCAAATTTTATTGATTCCATGACATTATTTTTTTTCAAACTGTGGCTGAAACTTGAAATATGTAAAACCATATGTAAACCAAAATAACATATATCAGAGTATAAGAAATTAAGGAAATAAAAATTAAATCTATTACAGAATAAGAAATAGCCACTATTGATGCTCAGTCTCTTCTGTCTTGACGATGGGGCCACATGGCTTCATCCACATCACATTCAATATCCTCTCTTGCAATGCACCGAAGGAAAAATCTTCTTGCATGCCTTATCCAACCTTGATATACACCTTGATTTATAGGTGTACAGACTGATTGCTGATTGCAGATTTGTGTGAAAGATTGTCAAACAGGTGCTGTAGTGATTTCATACCGATCTAAGTAGTTTCTAACAGTTGGGTGTAGATGGTTTCTGTTTGGTCACCAGAGTTAAAACAATGGAGTTTGGGCTGCTTGAATGACATCTGTGTTAACTGTTTTGCAAATTGGTGTGAAAAATGTGTGAATCCAAAGAAAAAGTGTTATTACACTTGCAAGACATGACTTCAGGTCTGCTGAGATGGTGATGATGAAGACCGAGTGGGTCCCAGTTTATTTCAGTACTGTAGGTCAAAACATTCAAGAAAAACTGTAATTCTCTGTTGGCAGGGTTGTGGTACCACATTAGAAGGGGTCGCTTTGGGGACGCTTTGGAAATGCTTTGTGGGCTTTAGGATCACTTCCATGGAGAAATTCTCTCACTCAGTTTGGAAGTCACCTGCGAATTTGGAGCCTGAGGGCACTATTGCCACAGAAGAGGACAAACAAGCAGGATGGGCTGGTAGAACCACATTGCTGGCACATAATTGCATATCTGTCTGTGAATCATACTGAATTCAGTTTCCCAAAGCATGCCGAGTTTGGGCAGGCTGACGGCTCTTCTCCGGCCCAACACCTTCTGACCTGTAATGACGTGTGAACATTATTGAGCTTTTATTTTGCTTCTTTCTGTGTTGCTGCTCTGTCTGTTGCAATAATCCTGGTGAGAATTACACCCATTACAGGCATGTTGAATGATGGGGAGGGTGACGTTACACATGAGCAAGTTAATATAATAGCATATAAACTGAGGAATTTCTGAAGGGTTATGAGGGCAACTTTACTCTTCTTCCTTCTTCTGTATTCCTCTGCTATTCTGCACATTATCTAACCATCCAGTAGGTCCCCTAAACATGCCGGCTATTGCACCCACAGCAGTGACTTCTCCCCCCATCCCCACCCCCCCTGCTCTGTCCACCAGTCAGACACATCTTTCACACTGCACCAATCCCAAAGGGAACCTTCCTTAGCAGTGGGTTCACTGTGCGTGTGACTCCTCCATCCCCCAACCTCATCATGGCGGGTGACTACAGGATGCAGTCAGTTCCGTGAATGGCAAGAATCTGCATACCTGCTCAGTTATACTGCATTCATGGTTAAATGTTTAATTTTACACATCTGACTGACTCCTGCTGCAAAGGACAGTTTTCATAACCAGGGCTCCCTTTTGGTAAAATATTATATAAGTCAAATTCATCTGAAAATCACATTCTACTATTCAACTATAGATGTATGTACATATGTATGTATACACTCACACACACACATAGAGGTTTGTAATTATATCTCTGTGGGGACTCTCCATTCATATCAATGGGGAACACTCTAATCCCAGCATGACGACCTTACCTCCTACCCAGCCCTAACCTTAACCATAAGTAACCAAACTAAATATGAGAGTTTTGCATTTTTAGTTTTTCGACTGGGTTCACAGATCACCATTCTCTAATGTTGATCACATGCCTTCTTCAAATTTTGTGTTGAAAGATATATTCTGTGACGTGGCATAGCTTTCACTGATGAAATGATGTAAGCTGTGACTTTGTAATTGCAAAAACATTTCTTCTTCCCTAAATTTCATCAGCATTTTTTATATGTATATAAAAATCCAACCTTTCCTTAAAATAAATTTATTGAAAGAAAAACAAGTCCTTCATCAAGAAATAATTATTTTCAATAAAAACACATGTGCCATGTGTTACGCTCCTCTGCCAAGGAATAGGTGAACCCTGTAATGCAGGAGACTGATGATTTATTAGAAAAGCCGGGTGCAAACAAAGCCAGAAGGGAAATCCAGAAGAGTAGTCGTGGCACGGGTGGAAGTTGATCACCAGGAGAGTCAATCCTACACAGATAGATGGGACCAAGGGATGACAAGAGAGAAGGAGCAGGATCGTCAGGGCAGCAGGGCAGGACGGAGCAGGAGGGCAGGTCAGGTGGGAACCGGCAGGTTGAAGAGGGGCGAGGAGCAGGCAGGGCAGGCGAAACAGCAGGGCAGGACACGGCAGGCAGGAAAGTGGGGGAGACAGGAGACAGGCAAAACGCTCGGTAAGGCACATTCGAAAATGGCAACAATATTTCGCAACTATTGGGAAGTTGCGTCCATCTAAGTAGTGCGCTGATTAGGCGGCGATTGTTTGCCGCTGTGCTGTCCTGCCCCCGTGGGCGTGACACCATGATTATCGGCTCCCCTGCTTTTAATACTTTGTACAACTTCCTTTTGCCAGTATTACAGCACTGAGTCTTCTCCTATAACATTTTAAAAGGTTGGAGAATACAGAGCAGGGCATCTTGCTCTGCATTCCTCTTTACAGAATCTCTCCAGATCATCCAGGGTCCTAGGCCCTCTCTTGTGCACTGCCCTTTTCAGCTCAACCCACATGTTTTCAATGGGCTTCAGGTCAGGGGACTGAGATGGCCATGGCAGAAGCTTGATTCTGCGGTCAGCTAACCATTTTTGTGTTGATTTGGACATATGCTTAGAATCACTGTCCTGCTCGAAGATCCAATGACGGCCCAGTTTTAGTTTCCTGGCAGAGGCAGTGAAATTTTGATTTAAAATGTCCTGGTATTTCATGGAGTCCATAATGTCATGTACCCTAATGCGGTTTCCAGGACCTTTGGAGGAAAAACAGCCCCATAACATCACAGAACCTCCAGCATATTTTACAGTTGGATGAGCTTATTTTCGTTATAGGCATCCTTCTTTGTACCTTATGTTTATTGCCAAAAAGCTCCATTTTCTGGCATACCTTCCAAATAATCTGTAAGGGGCGTCTGATAGTTTTTTCAGAGATGTGGTAAGCCCAAGATTTTACTTGGTCTTGTAATTCACCCACAGTGATCCTTGGGGATTTTTCTTGCCTCTCTTACGATCCTCCTCACTGTAAGTTGAGAAAAACAAACTTGG